TCAGCTGGTTTTGGTTGTCAGCAGCAAAACTGGTTGATCCACTCTGAGAAGGTGCTATTTAAGAGACTGAGCTGAAAACAGCACCTCAGACTGAAGAAGTCTCTTGGATGAGAGACGAAACGTTTCTACATTTATTATTTTTTTTTTTGCTTTGTTTTGTTTTTTGTTTTTTTGAATGTCCAGAGGACCAGATTGAACTTTTTTGGATATCCTTAACACGTTTTTCTTTGTCTTTCTCCCCAAAGAAGCTACACCTGGACCATAGAAAACATACCCAAGGCCTCATGTATAAAAGGTGTGTATGCACAAAAGTGTGGCGTACCCCATTTTCCACACAAAACTTCAGAGGTATCAAGAATTAAATGAAGGTGAAAACGTGCACAGCCCCATGCCAACTTTATGGCTGGCGTATGCATGTTCCTATGGTTATTGGTCCATTGGCGCCACTTAGAGGTCATACTGGGAAACAATGATGTGAAAACTATTATTGTACACACCGGACACACATGATGAACAATTAATACATGTATGCAAAATTAGATTGGATATAAAAGCTGCACAAAGTGCTGCAGAAAACAACAAAGGCTTTAGCCTTATTAGAGGATTTAGCATAATGCAGAGAGTCTGCATTTAGAGACAGACAGGATATTCTGGCCCACACTGACAACTGGCTCATCAGCCGTAGGGTAAGCCTTTTTGAACTGTGCTTGGAGCTGTTGCCGGTCTTGGAGCGTGACACTGCAAGGAGTCGTGCACTGCCCATACACATCCAGCTGCTGACCACACTGGGGTTCTTAGCAACAAGAACATTCCAGAGGGAGCTGGCAGACCAATCAGGACTGAGCCAGTCGACCCTGAGCCAAGCCATGCCGGCTGTGTGGGATGGAATTATCCATATGTCAGTCAGGTATATCAAATTCACTACAATACAGTTGAACAGACCAACACTAAAGTACAATTTGCAGCGACAGACGGTTTTCATAATCGTAACTATCAACTGCAGACACACTGGTATAAAACCACCATCACAAAATGAATATGTTCATGTTAACAGGAAATATTTTCATTCAATCAATGTGTAAATTATATGTGATGTGCAAAAGCAACTAACAAACATGGTGATGAGCTGGCCTGGTTTAACACGATTCATTCATTCTAATGAATAGCGTGGTTGGGAACTCCTTGAAACTCCACCTTATCGTGGTGGAGTAGTTTGTGCACCTGAATGACCCTAGGAGCTATGCTGTCGGGGGCAATTATAATTGCCCCATGTAGGGTCTCCCATGGAAGATTAGTTCTAGGTGACAGACAAAGAGCGACCCAGAAGACTTTTATAGACTAAAGAAAACAAGGAGCTCAGTGTCCCTTTCTCAGATGTGGGTTACTGGCATTTTCTTATTTACCAGTTCTAACTGTATTAAAACTGAACTGACACGACTTAGTATTTAAATCAAATAGGTGATCTGGACATGTTCATGTCCTGAGAGATGATTTGACACAGTTGAATCCAGATGTTTACCTTATGTTTTTTTTTTTTTTTACTTTCTTCAAATCGTTAAAATCATCATTAAAAACAGTTTAAAAATTCAATCATTCAGGTAAACAAATCACAAAAAATGTTAAACCATGTTTCCATCATGTTCTCAGTATTTGGCAGTGTAGTCTTTAAACTGACTTTAGTCAAATGTTTTGTTTTTCCTTCCAGAAATGTCTCACAACAGTTTGCTGTAATTCTGTCCCATTCCTCCTGACGGAACTGGACCTGGGTCAGTTTGGAGGCCATCTTGGTCACACACACCTCATCAGCTCTGTCAACTCGTTCCCCACAGGACTGAGATCAGGTCCTTGTGATGACCTCTCCAGAACTCACTGGCTTAGTTGTTGTTAAATCATCTTGTAACTAATCTGTCCATGCTGAGGGACATTGTCCATTTGGAGACACATTTGTGTCCAAAATTTTAACTTCCTGTTGCTTCAATATTTCCTCATCATGCCATCAATCACTCCTGCAGCATGATGCTGCCATCACCGTACTTCAAGGAGGAGATCATATTGTGTGCAGACAGGTCAGTGTTAGTTTAATCAGACCGCAGGACATGTCTCCAAACATTAAGGTGTTTGTCCCTGTGTGTATTTACAAACTGTAATCTGCTTTCTGCTGCCTCACTGAGTGTCCTGTCAGCCTGGTCCAGGACTTGTTTCATCTCAGTAAACAGTCAGTAAACAGTCAGTGAACAATCAGTGAACAGTCAGTGAACAGTCAGTAAACAGTCAGTGAACAGTCA